CCGTCTCGGGGTCCCCATCCAGGAGGACGGCAGTGACCAGCGCAGCTGAGTTTGGTGGTAATGGCTTTCACACTTCACTGTCAAGTCATTGTTTGACCACCTCTGGCTCTCTTCCATCCTTCACGTGGTTGTGCGTAGTTTTTCATCTGTGATATCTTCAATAGCTCAATGATTCTAGGCGAAAACGTAGTGAAAATGCTTTTCTTGGCAAGGGCTGTCCACCTTTCTGGAAAATCTGAACTCCTGCTTCTTGATAGCCACGATTTGCTTAAACTTCCATCGAAATATGGTCCTTTTTTAAGCGCACCAGAGGACCAATTTCTTTGTGGTATCCTTTTTTAGGTTATTTGTTCCAGTTACGTTCAGTTAAATCAGTTATTACGTGCATACAACTCACTCGCACCCTTAAAATGTATCATAAAACGCGCGAGCACGCAAAGCATTCTTCCTGGGGTTGAATGCTTTGCAATGCTTGGCAAATCAAACCCTTCTCGCCTCTTCCGTAAAACCCCCGGCGAATTCCGGATAGTGACGTGACTTTGGCATCGAAAAAGCGGTTTTCAAACCGTCCGGACCACTTATCACATTTGAACTATGAGGAACAGTTGCACATTTGTTTTACTGAGGTAGAATTGACCAGGCAACTGATGTGTTCTGAGATGAGACTGTAGACAGACGGTGATCCACTGACGGTGACGGAGTCATACGGAATCGAAATTTAACGGGTTGATTAAAAACATCGTTCCAACTAGTTGACGTCAACATGTTTGATTCATCTGCGGCCATTAGTCCAAGTGGAGTATAGCTCTGTTGTTTGTTCTAATCTCGCATCACGTGAATTAACGAGACGTGTCCTGTAACGAATTTTCTTGTTCTAAACCTCTCGATTGTATTGCAGTTTTGAGTGGCTTTGTGATTACCGTTTTATGTCCCACCTTCTAAAGGTGTAAATAGAACGGGATAAATTCGTTTGGAAGCTCGATTTTAAGTATCTCGAAGCCTGTTGCAGTAGTCTGACTGTGAGAAACAAAAACACGCAGACAAGTCGCATAAACAGTGCCTTTGAGAAGTCGCCATTCGTCGTTCCGTGGCAGTCTGATGCGATTTGCGTGACTGAAGGATGAGTGGCTTTAATCACAATGCTGATAGATCACTCATGGCGAAGTATAATGCTCGGGGTTCAATCCACTTAGAGATTCACAAAGTGCTCACTATTGATGATGAGGAGTCTGGTTGTTCCGCATTTCTAAGTCAACATCAAGCAAACCGATGCTTTCAAATCCGTCATTCAAATGCTCATTTACTATCAAATAAGTCGGATTTCTCAGTGTCCGGAGTCCTGTTTTCGTAAAGTTGCCTGATGAAAGTCCTCCGAAAGTGTCGAGAAGTTGTAAAAGATCACCAGACCTGCAGCGAGTGAAACAAGAAACTGTATGTTCGTGATGCACTACTTAAAATTCGTCGACAGCCCACGACAGGCTTCGCCCTTCTTGGGGCTCGTGAGGTAGGCGCATTCCCCGAGTTCCTGTCAACCTTATGTTCTGCTTGAAATCAAATTGCACGGTATTAGCGAAATACACTCATTCGCAAATTAAGTGGGTTTTGTGAGAGTGACTCATCTAGAACTTAGCTGAATATCTCGTTTGTTATGTTTCCAGGCAACTGATTGTGCTGCACCAGGCTGTCTCATGTTTCAGCAACCTTATGATTAGTGCATTACCAATATGCATGTATCTCGAATATCGTGTCGACTGAAACATGGAGCGGCCTGGTGCAGCACATTCAGATGCCTGAGAACATCACAAACGAGAGATTCAGCTGGGTTCCAGGTGAGTCTCACCCACAAAACCAAATAAGTTTGCAAATGAGTGTATTTCGCTAAGAAACTATATAGTTCCGCAGTTTTCTGGGAGTCCTGTTCCTCTGTGTACTAAAAAACGATGGGACTAATCTACATCATTTCAGCTTCACTTGTTTGATAAGCTAGTTTCTTCCGAATTGTTCTGAGATTTAACTAGTGATATTCCCTCACACATCCGAAAAAATACGTCGCGAGTCCTCTGTTTAACTCCGTTAACCTGGTCACCATTTTGAGGCCGGCATCGTTGTCAAAAATGGAGTTTTCCACCCCTGAACAGCAAACACGAATTAGCTGGATATGAAAAAGCAAGTGCGTTCACAATTCCTAGAAAAATACTTACTGGTGAGTTTTAACAGTTTCTAATTCATTCAAATGGTCAGTCATAAATGGTAAAAGCAGTTGATACTAGTCGTTACAGTTCAAATGTTCCGTTTCACTTTGAACCCCTGACTCGCATGCACCAGGCTACGGCACGATCTGTATTGTTGTATGGTTGCGAAACATGGCCTCCGCTGAGAGATGATGTGAAGCGTCTTCAGATTGTTGCTGCCTTTGGATGGCATCAACGCATTGGAAACAAGGTGATTAGAAAACGGGTATGTGATTGTCTAGCAGGCAACTCAGTCACGGAAAACATCCAGCACCATCACCTACTGTTCCTCTGCGATGCGCTACGCACTACAAAACACCGTCTACCGAGAAGAAGGTTGTTCTCTCTGTCTTCAGAATGGCGAGGGACTTGACAAAAGGGTGTGTAGTACATTGAGAAGAGTTTGGGTATTGCTGGCTCCCTTACGTCTGTTAGGATGGGGTCCCTGTGACCACTCCTGCTGACTGGCTAGCGATATTGTGTGAAAGGGGGGCTGATTGAAGTCAGTGGCGTCTGTGTTGTCAGTTTCTCGATTGTCCAACTGAGCTTGGACTCCTCAGAATGCTTGTGATAGGACATCGCCAGGTCCCCTCCCAGACCCACTCTTTTTTTACTTTTTTCCAAGACTTGAAATATATTTAGACTAACAATGTGGTTGTACTGCAGTGAAGCATCAGTGTTACCACAGAGTTTCTGTATGATGATGTTGGTTGTGATCGGGATGATGATGTTGATGATGGTGATGATGATGATGATGGTGATGATGATGATGACGATGATGATGGTGATGATGATGTTGGTTGTGATCGGGATGATGATGTTGATGATGGTGATGATGATGATGATGGTGATGATGATGATGACGATGATGATGGTGATGATGATGTTGGTTGTGATCGGGATGATGATGTTGATGATGGTGATGATGATGATGATGATGATGATGATGATGATGATGATGATGATGATGATGATGATGATATCAAGGCAATTCTCCGGAAAAAGCAAACAACGGGTTTTGTAATTGACAAAATCGATTGAGCAACACTGATAGGCGAGTCTTTGTGAGTATACTCTACGAAATCCATGTATTGGTTACTGTTCATAGGGTAGTAAAAGACTACAAAACGCCAGAATTTTTTTCGACTGGGAAGTCCAAAACATGCTTTACAAAATAGGTACAATGAAACCAACATACTGTCAATCTGAGTT